ATGAATTATCCAACCATCTTTCTCTTATTTTCTTCCATTCTAACGTTCATTTATGTCGTCGTTTCCGGTTTCCACAACTCACGGCTTCCACCAGGCCCTTACCCTTTTCCTATCATCGGAAACATCTTAAAACTCGGAAACAAACCCCACCGCTCTCTCGCCATACTCTCTAAACATTATGGTCCTTTGATGTCTCTTAAGCTTGGAAGACGCACAACAATAGTTGTTTCATCACCCGATCTTGCCAAGCAGTTCTTTCACACACATGATATATCGTTTTCTAGCAGAACGATTCTGGACAGTATTCGTGCAGTTGATCATGACAAGTACTCCATTGCATGGCTGCCAGTAGGAGATCAGTGGCGTAGACTACGAAGAATTACTAATGAATATATGTTCTCCGCGCAATGTCTAGATGGTAGCCAACTACTACGTAGGGAGAAGGTATGAGCCGTGTTGATAGCATGTAATATGTTTTTAATAAATTAGTTTTTATAACCCACCTGATCGTATTAGTAACTTATTTAAAAGTTTAAGGCTCGGCTCGCAGGGGCGGACGCAAGATTTTACAGTAGGGGTTGCACGGGAGAGTTAAGGGTTGCACAGTAGTAGAAAAAATAAAAATTTCGAAAATTTTCGAAAAATTTTCCACTGCGGCCGGAAAAGTTAGGGGTTGCCGGTGCCACCGTGGACCACCCCTAGGTCCGCCGCTGTCGGCTCGGTTAATAGTATATTTCTTACATATAATATATATATTAAAGTTGTGTTGCAAGATGAATAGTGAACTTCTGTTTTTTTTTTATTAAATTAATAATATATATATTTTTTTATTTTATTTCATCAAACCATTTAAAATGTTTGGTATCAAATTATAATAAATAAATAAACACCTTAAATCCAAACGTCCCCTAAATACTTTATTGTTATGTTTTAATTTAATAAAAGATTGATTCCACGAAACTGAAATTGGTTTATATATTAATTAGAAGTTTTTATGTTAAGTTGGTCTGGATTGCATATTATCTAATCTAATTAAAGCTCATGTTTATACGTCTAGGTACAAGAACTTGTAGATTACGTAGATGGATGTTCTACTAATGAAAAAACTGTCGACATAGGTGTAGCTGCCTTTACAACAATTCTTAATGTTCTCTCCAAATTCATATTCTCTATGGATTTCGCTCAATATGATACTATGTCATCCCAAGAGTTTAGGGAAGCAGTGATGGCTTTGTTGGAATTAGCTGCGAAACCAAATATAGCTGACTTTTTTCCAATACTAAGGCCGTTGGATCCACAAGGATTAGTACGGCTAGGAAATTTTTATGGTAAGAAGTTGTTGAATCTTATCGATGGGATCATTGACCAACGATTGCAATCAAGATCGAGTTTAGCAACAAACGACGATGTTTTGGATACGTTGCTTAACCTCTTCCACAAAGATGAATCAGTATTTAGTCTAGATGACATGGGACATTTGTTCTACGTAAGTAAATCATTTTGGAGTGTAGGATATACTTTTAATATGTTAAACCATATTCAATATATTAAATTGTTTCGTTTGGTTTAGTTTATCTTTTGAATAATCGGGCTCGGTTCAACAAAACTTGAAACTACGTTGGCTTGATTAACTAATTATAATTTTACGATAACTATTTGTTTCATTAATTATTTTAGGATATATTAATCGCTGGAACTGATACGACATCAAACACGTTGGAATGGGCAATGGCTGAGCTTATCCATAACCCAGAGAAAATGAAAACGGCTCGGGCAGAAATCAATCGTCTCATGCAAAACAACAATGGAAATATACAAGAAATGCATATCTCTCAACTTCCTTATCTGCAAGCAGTAATAAAAGAAATTCTCCGACTACACCCACCAGCCCCTGTTCTTCTTCCTCACCGAGCCATACAAGATGTAGAAGTGAAAGGTTTCATTGTGCCTAAAAATGCACTAATCCTTTGTAATGTTTGGGCTATGGGGAGAGACCCTAACATTTGGTTAGACCCGGAAAGGTTCATGCCAGAAAGGTTTATGGAAGTGAATATCGACTATAGAGGTCAAGATTATGAGTTTATTCCATTTGGTTCTGGAAGGAGGATATGTCCGGGATTAAATTTTGCTCATAGGATGTTGCATTTAATGTTGGCGTCTTTGATTCAAAAGTTTGAATGGAAACTCGAAGGAAATATTAGAGCACAAGATATGGATATGGAGGAGAAGTTTGGGCTCACATTGCCCAGAAAAGTACCACTCGTGGTCATTCCAATAAAAGTACTTTGATTGTTTTTAAATAACTTTACTCACTTTTTTGTACATCTCTTGTTTACTTTGTTTTTTAAATAACTACACTTTCTTTTTGTATATGTCTCTTGCTTACTTTTAATGTAATTAACACTTGCTTTTGTTAGCATTTAGCCATTATTTTCACACTTAGTCATTCTTTTTGTACACCATCAACCATCTAACTTGTTGAAGTTGTTTAAACGCTATCCTTGTAACCGTTTGTTGTAGATTACAACTTACTTGGTGTATATATAGTGCTATGTGTCATATACGTGACAAATTAAATGACACCGGTACCTTATTTGAGGTTGCCAAACGATTGCATCCTTAATTATGCGCTAAAATTAGAAATCAACCATGCATTCTTCTTGATCTTCTTTCTCTTCCAAATGAGATGGAGAATTTCAAGCTGACTATCCATACAATTGTGGGTTACCATCTCCTTTGATGACTTCATGATCATGTGACATAGTATCATAATGTTGTGAATCATTGTCATCATCCAAGTCTTGCCCTTCATTATCTTCTACCACTTTCTTATCATCACATTCAGTAGTCAATAATAGCTTCATTTTGGTAATTAATCTACACACTGATTCTTTTTCTCATTGTCTAACCTCTTTCAATAAACTCAAAGTAGTTAACATCATTCTTAATTCTCCTAATACTCTATGCCAAGTTTTTCTTTCTACTACATTAATACACATTATCATAAGTTCTTTAACTTAACTTTTTATAAAACAAAACAAACTCTTTTAGACTCATTCCAGCGAAGTCGATATCACAGACTGAAACTTTAATAGGGTCAAAATACATAGGGATTTGGTGGAAATACACCTATGTAATAAGCATATACTAACAAGTACTTACATGCAGATGAATTTGTGGCCATATTCTTCAAAGCTTACAGTCGACTTCAACTCCCCATTTCGTAATCTTCAATTGTCGTTATGGATTGGGTTGATTTTAGGGATAGTTTAATTGCGAACCCTAATTTAAGGAGAAGGAGATTGAAATGTTTGTAATGGCCATGTAATACGACACATAACCCTAATTAAACGAGGTAATTGAACGAAATCGACAAAATGGATGACACGGTTAAAAGGATATTATTTGAACAACTTCAACAAACAAGTTTGATAACGAGTAACAACTTCATCAAAGGAAAAATGTCAACATAACATACAAGAAACCAATTTGACAACTAACAATATTAAGCATAAGTAATAAAAGGAAAAATACATAACTAGAAACCAATTTGGCCTACTTTTAATAATGTCAACATAACATACAAGAAACCAATTTGGCTAGTAACAATATTAAACATAAGTAATAAAAGGAAAAATAATTACCATATTTAAGTCATTTAACCTATTTTTAACAATGTCAACATAACATACAAGAAACCAATTTGGCGAGTAACAATATTAAGCATAAGTAATAAAAGGAAAAATACATAACTAGTACATGTTTTTATTAAAATTTAGTCATCGATGAAAACTGGTAGTTTAATGAAGTTGATTGGGTTTAGATGATTTTCTTATAGTTGATCAATATAATATATAGTAAAACTGAATTTCATCGACTGGTATCACAATTTATTAAAAACTTTCGTTGGTTATTCATAATTTATTATGTTGAATATATTGAGTCTAGAATACATGTAAAAAATTTCAATAAAATGAGATCATTTGTATTACATGTTAAACGGATTTTATTAGACTTTGAATAACACTATTGTGAAATGTTTTTCATAGTTGGGATTTTGTTTATATTTTGTGGAATAATAAAAAAATATTATAATACTAATATTGACTTTTAACGAGGACATGTTTGTGTAACAAATCAAATTTCACTTAAAACATGCTTATATTTTTTTATGTGCAAAAACAATATATTTCCAAAACAAAACTTAGACGGGTGGGAGTAGGCAACGGCTTAAGCCGTTATTCCGACGTGGCATGTAAATAACGTCGGTATAACGGGCGGAACACCGCCCCCGGTCCCCGTTATTCGGCGTTATGTTACAACGCGTTATTGTGGTAACGACTGGAAACTTACATTTTCGATCGAAATTGTATTAAACGGTAATATTTTGAATCGTTTAAAAATGGTCAAAAACGTAAAAAAATAAATATATATTTTTTCAACTTTAACTCTAATTTTTACACCTACGTATACACATCTGATTTTATTTTTTACCAACAGTCTAAATTATGTCTCTCATCTTATTTCAAATCATCAAACAATTTCTCATTTCATCCCTATGGATCAAAACCCCAACATGCCTCATCCAAACACAAATACATATCCACCTCTTGATATTGCACAATACGAGTTGTACGCGAACATCCTCAACACTCAAGGCAAGTTTTTCAATCCCGTCTCACCCCCACCACAATTCCCTACAACCATTCCACAAAACCTTTTCAACACATTCGCTACAATGCAACAAAATACCACACAACCACCACCCACGCAAGAAACAATACCCGAGACCCAAGCAGGGGGGAGCCGAAAAAAAAACGGCCAACAAAGGGAGAACACAAAGGAAAGGGAAAGCGGCCGTGGTGGAGCAATCGGAAGATGAACCTCCAACATGGTGGACTGCTGAGGAAGAATACGCATTGGCGGTGACATGGTGCAGGACATAAAAAATGATGTGTTTGAGCCAAAAGAACATCCTATGTGCTCATGCAAACCCTAATGCTTGGATCTAGGTTTCTCTATTGTACATTCATTCATCCAAGTCTTTCAAACCCTAGATCTAGCATATGATATTCGAAATTAACACATGTAAACAGATCTAGATGATTACCTTGTTGTTGATTGAAGATCTTGAAGCCTTGAGAACCTTAGCACCTTAAGTGTTGTGCCTCTAATGAATCACAAACACCAATAGCAATTGGAGGAAACAAGAGAGAGAGGGGAGAGGAGAATTTCGGCTCTTGGACTTCTAGGGTTCAAGTGGCCGAAATTCCCATGCCTAGGGGTCCTTTATATAGGTGTAGGAATTAGGGATTCAATGGTTATCCTTATCTGATTACTTAGCCACCAAGTAACCCACGGATAATTCTAGAATCCCTATGGACGAATTCTTTAGGCTTTATCCCTAGAATTCGTCCACCCTATCTATTAGGGTTTCCTTGCCCTACTTTGTAACTATCACATAATTACAGTTCAGCCCCTTAAGTTCAATTAACTTCTTTTGATCACAAAACTACTTCTTAATTAATTATTGACCAATATTAATTAAACAAATATGATTTCTCTTTTAATATATTATTCTTATAATATATTAATAAACCATAATCACCTCTTTCTATATTATTCCTCCAGTCAAGTTGCTTTGGTGAAGGCAACCCAAAAGGACCATGCACAACCGGGTCAAGTACATACCAAACATAGTTATGGACTTAGACACTAATCCAACAGTCTCCCACTTGGATAAGTCTAATAACTATAAATGCAAATGCAACTTCTGGATCCGATTAACAATCGCAGTTCTCAAAACTCTTGATCTTATCAATAACATGTCCTTAAGATAAGGGATCATATAATCCTCTGTTCTAGATATCGTGCAGACAAATACATGGAACATAGTCATACTTATTGTCCAGCAGTTGTTTTCTCGATCTCTGATTCATTTGACATAGAACTTAATTGAACACATCAATTCAGTCCTGACCGGGCCCGACACATAAGTCAAATCAAATCATCGAGGGGCCCTAATGTAAGGTCCAAATAAGGATCTTTACTAGTAGTTACACAACAATCAATCACAAAATAAGAGTAAGATAAAAGAAATCAAGCTTGCACACGATTATATTGAGAAAATCGTCTGGTACAACTCGATAGGACTCTATGGCATCAACAACCACAAAAAGACTAACACCTCCTCTATATATACAAGACACGATCAAGACACAATCATAAACTGGGTTTGCGACCGTAAACTGAGTTTACGGTCGTAAACGTGTTTACGGCCGTAAACATAGAGTTTACGGTCGTAAACGTGTTTACGGCCGTAAACACAGTTTACGGTCGTAAACACACAAAAAGTTCAACAAACAACCAACAACCCGTATACACTGTAACAGACTCATTCTGAACACAAAAACAGTGAAAGCCTAGACCAAACCATTTCCAGGGTCCTTCAATCTCCCCCTTGGTTTGGATCTAGCCTAGACTCAATCCTTGTCGACCACCAGAACATCCGACGTTCCCATTGCACCGTTCCACATTTTCTTCTCAATGATCTCAGCCACCATCGCCGTGTATTCTTTCGCCGCAGGCTCGAATATTGGTTCAGCCACCTTAATCTGCTGAGTGGCAAGATGATGAATGTCCCATTGGTGAAATTGAAGCAAGTCCCTTTTCTCGTAGAGACGGATGCAATCATCTTTAAGCTTGATGACAGCGGCATCTGTTAATTCATCATATACCCAATACATCATGGATGCAAGAGAACCATCAGGGTAGTTTTGAAGAACAGGGACTTGTTTCACTTGTGCGGTGGCTGGCCACATCACTTGTTTAAGAGGCTGATCAGTTTTGGGATCAAGCACATTGGGGTGAACCTTGACGATTGATTGAGCGGTCTTCATCGAAGTAAATCCTTTAGCAACTTGATCTTCCAAAAACGATTTAAACTGGTTTGCCCTGGGATTATTTGAAGGATTGGAGAAAGGAGCCTTAGACAGCTCAATAAGATCAATCTTGGTAAAAGAGTCAAAGTCGTGAGCATCTTTGTATAGTTCATTTTTGCCGCTCTTTCTCCTTACCATGAACATGTTCATCGTGTCATGGAATCCCCATGAGATGATTCCAGACCTGTCACCATAGATGTCTCTGAAGCGATTTTCGCCCAGATCCGTAACAGTAACCTGTTGTTTATCCCAGGGCGCCTTATGATCTGCGCTTCGTTTGAATAGAAGTTGACCTTTTTCAGATTCCTGGGTCGACTTCTTGCGTTTTAAGGCCTTTCCACGTGGAGC